CTTCCCCTAGCGTAGGAGCCCTCCAATGCGCCTCCTCCTTCGACAGGAGCAGCCCCTTCTTGGCAAAGGCGGCCAGCACCTCCTCGTCTACGTTGGATGGCCTCCAGTTCGACATCACGCCTCGGATTCACAAACGAATCTGTGAGTTCGCCTCTCCCTCGCTTTACCCTCTCTCTCTCTCCTAGAAACCGCCATGGCGCACGAATGGGCTTGGAGAAAAGGAAGGAGGAGGAGAGGCAGTAGTTGGAGAAAGGCGAAGGAATGGGAAGAAAACCCTCTCCCTTCCCCCTATTTAATGCGGATAGGCATGCGGTGGGATGTGTCCTGACTGATGGGACGCGCCCTACCCAATGAAGCATCGCCTGGTTAAAACAAGATGTGGCCTAGGTAGGGCCCACCAGTACCACAACCTAGGAGCATGAAACAAGGCACAACTGCACGCAAACAACCCTCCGCCTTCCCAGGTAGGGTTTGGAAGGGCCCACCAACAGAATCTCCATCAAGGAAAGACCAATGGGCTACCTGAGTCTATCGGACGGCTCAGGCGACTGCCGAGAGACAGGTAAGGAGCAGTGGGATGCCCCATGCGGGCTATGCTGACTCTGTCACGAATGATGGACACGGATCCCATTTAGACATATCTGATAAGAGCTCCTCTAACCCGTCACTCGAGTATCAAAGTAACTTTACCAAACCTTCTTACTTTATTTTATTTTATTTTCTAATGCATGACCATTCATTCATCCTTTCTCATACACGCATTCACACATTCATCCATACAATCATTCATTCATCCCATACATACAAAGCATTGCATATGCAATTAATGCATCACAACGCTTCGTGTTGCGTCATGAAGCGGTAGTCGCCTCATTCGACTTGAGCGACGGCCGACCGGGGTTCGAAGGCCGGCCCGCGTAGGGCTTGAGGCCACCTCACATCAAATAGAGCCAGAGGAGAAAACACAGATGAGCCCCAGCGGCCCTCGCCCGATCTACTCAGAAGTACACAGGGTCATCTCGACCTTCTCGTTTGATCCTAACCTCGAGCCATGCCCATAGAATCTCCATCGAGGGGAGGCCAACGGGCCACCTGAGTCGGTCTTCGGAATGACTCAGGCATCTATCGGGAGATGGGTTAAGGAGCAGTGGAATGCCACATGAGGACTATGCCGACCCTGTTACGAACGACGAACCCGAATTCCACTCGGACATACCCATTAGAGAGCTCACCGAGCACGTCACTCGAGCCATCGAGGCAAGCGACGTTAGCTCAGCCCCTCTAGTTGCGGAAACCGCGGATGGGGTAACGCACGAAACTAGACCAACCCCTCGGCCACGCCTGACACTTGGGTCCGTGCTCCATCGCGCCCGACCCCTCGGCCGCGCCCGATGTTTGGGTTGGCGACCTGACGCCTAGGTTCACGCTCCTAGAAATGATGGCTTAGAACCTAAGAAGGGGAGACGTGCGAAAAACAAGAGACGTTTTCCCTACTAATTCCACTATCCTCTCCTCGATCTTTAGTGACACCTGACGCCAGCAATGGCAAGGGGTCAGATCTCACTTGGGGGCTACACCCATCGGGTGCGCTCGCACGTACCCGTTGGCAAGTCGAAAAATCCCCTAGGCGATTCTACTTGAATCGCCCGGGGGCTACACCCACAGGGTGTGCTTACGCGCACCCGCTGGCAAGTCAAAAAACCCCAGGTGATTTCTAGGACCACCAAGGCTACACCTCTTGCCTAGCTCCGCTTTGGCTGACCCCCGAGGAAAACTCCGCCTCGCCCGATGTCTGAGGGCTAGCTCCGCCTCGCCCGACGTCGGAGGGCTAGCTCCACCTCGGCTAACCCCCAAGGGTAGGCTCCGCCTTGGCTGATGTCTGAGGGCTAGCTCCACCTCGCCCGACGTCTAAGGGCTAGCTCCGCTTCGCCCGATCCCTCGAATACGGTTCCTAACGAAAGCTCACGCCACCGCCAACCACTATGGGCTAGAAAGTACAACCCTAGGTCAAACTTCTGACATCTTGTAGGGAGCGGTCACATCTCAGCATGACCCATCTCCATGACATGTCGTTCCAAGGGACTCACATCAACCCGCAGTGACGGACGCATGGTCACTATGTTGCCTACTCCCTATACGGCCGCTGATCAGCATGCTGGTTCGTCGGTCCGATGCCTGGGTCCGCGCTCCATCGCGACTGACCCCTCGGCCACGCTCGACGCCTGGGTTCACGCTCCGTCGCGCCCGACCCCTCGGCCTCGCTCGATGCCTAGGTCCACGCTCCGTCGCGCCCAACAACGACTCATGATCTTACACCCACCCGTTGCTCTCATACAACGAGTATAAACAGCCCCTTCATGACTTCGCAGAAGTCCCAAAAGGGCTCGGGGGCTCCTGTCGGGTTCATAAACCCAGGGCCCCCGATGGGCCCGCTTTCCAATAAAAGCTCGGCCCAGCTAATGGCATTACAACAACGCGCGACTCATGGGCCGACCCAGATACCTAATGATAGGCTGGAAGAGCAATCTAGTCTCTGATCGAAAGGCCTAGCCAGGGAGGGGACGACGCTCGCTTCCGACTCTGACCCGCTTTTCCGATAGGGAATACGTCGAACCTCTGTTTATAGCTCTTCTCCGACAGACACGTTTGGTGAGGAACGACCGACTGGGAATGACCGACCGGGGCACCCGCTTGGTGAGGACCCAAGAATCAGGCGGAGCAGATAAGGCAAGACGCTCAAGTCAACCGCTATACCGAGGATTGTACCCTGCACACCTACTGGGACAATACCACCAGGCCATGCTAGAAGGGTGCTTTGCAACCTTCCAGGCATGTCAGAACCCAAACAGTGTTGTGGGCGTCGACATTTGCCTTACAATGTTGTGGGCGCCGTCATTTGCCATACCAGGCAAACACGGTAAAGCATGCCACATGCGTTTGACATAAACAGTATTGTGGGCGCCGATGACCGTGTTGTACCCAACAGCGTGGGCAACAAGACTTAGTAGCACACGTGGACACTCTCTCTCTCTCTCACTTGTAAGACCATCCCCTTCACCTATAAAAGGGGATGCGCTCTCTCCCAACGGATGACGGTCATTTCGACTCTCTCTCTGCTAAGCTTTAGACATTCTGAGCACTCAAACAACTCTATAGCTCTAGAACTCTAAAGCTACACAGAGCGTATGTTCCAATACTTAGCGCATGTTGGAGCTCTCGTCACTCTTGACCCTTCGGTTCAGAGCTCGACCGGACCTTTAACACCCCCCTTCTTATTTCCACTCGTTTGTAACCCCACAGCAAAGTTCGAGTACCTGGGCTCAGGAATAAAGTCACCGATCGACTAGAACTGAACGTAGGGCATGTTGCCTGAACCAGTATAAACCCTATGTCATTGAGTGCTAGGCCACATCCGATCACAACGCACGGCAAAATTACAAATATTTACTTATTGGTCACTTTTCGCACCGACAAGAGCCATCTTGAGGAGTGATGTGCATGTACATCTTATCTGCATTGATCTTCCTCAATATTTGAGTTGGCGTAGCGCTGGAAAGATCACCTTGATGAAGCACCGTCACAATATGCCCAAACTTGTCAATGGGGAGGACACTTAAGATCTTTCTCACAACATCGGATGGTTGCATTTGAGTGAGTCCAGGCCCATTCACCTCCTCTACAACAACATTCAAGTGTGATGGCGATCACTAAGAGTAACAAGTAAAAACTCTCACTTGACCAAGACAAGCCTAATGAGAAAGATGGATGCACACTTGCTACTCCCTATGCACTAATAAGGTCCTTAATTTGGATTAACAAATCTCAATCACCCCACTAGGCTCTTGCACTCCCTTCCACTCTAAAGGTGTTTCATAGCTGAACAAATAGGCAAGAGACCTAACTGGACGAGTGGAGGATGCATTTATACTCCCCACTTCAAAACATACCTGTTGGGTCCAACTCAGCACATTTCGGGATGATCGAACGCTCAGGTCAAAGTGACCGAACGCATCCGATCACCAGACTCTGACCAGCGTCCGATCACCACTCATCTGACGCGTTCGGTCAGCAATTTCCTTCTCTGGATGCTTACTGTTGTTGATCGGACGCGGCCTCTAGTGTGTCAGGTCACAGCGTCCGGTCCTTCATGAGTGTTGCTCGCTCTATAGTTGCGCACACCTGCATGCGTCCGATCCTTACTGGAGCCAGCGTCTGGTCGATGAGCAAGCCCTAGCTGGGTGAGCTAACGTTGACCGGATCGTGGCACCTGTGTGTCCGGTCCAGCGTCCGGTCATCATCCAAGTCTCGATTCACCTCAAATTCTACCAACTTTGTGAACGGCATCGACTTCAACTGATCTATGGGCTGTCCTTGAGCTAACTAGTGCTAAGTCTGACAAGTGTGCACCACACCTAAATTATTAAACTTACCTAGGTCAAGTTACTAGTTCATACCCATCTTAATAGTATGGACAAAAGAAAAACAAAGTCCTAAATAACTTTAAGTGTCTCTCCAACGTCAAACGACACTTAGAACTAGTCCGCTATTAACCTTGTCGTCCATCCTTTGAAAACTGAAACGATTTCTATCGACAGAGGCATGAAAACCATAATTGTCCAATCAATCACCATTACCATGACCTAACTCAAGTTGTCTCTGCAAAACATATATTAGTCAGAGTAATCTTGTGTCGTCATTAATCAGCGAAACCAAACTAGGGGTCTAGATGCTTTCATAGATCACTACTACATATTTTTGTGAGGCGATGCCCAAACATTAACCGATGCAGTCACAAAATCCAACCCCCTCCAAAAATGCCAGGCGATTAAGAGAGGTTGTCGTTTTCATTTACAGAGGCGGTCACATCTGTCCGCCTCATAAAATCGATTTACGGAGATGGGCAAAAAATAAACACCTCCTAAAATCGATTTACGGAGGTGGTCGTTTTAAGACAACCACCTTAGCCATGACACAGAGAGATTTTATTGTTATATAGTTAATTAAATTGAGCGTTGCAGAGAATTGCTCACGTGAGTGGAAAAATGAGAATATGGGAGGTGGTCTTCTTTGTGCATATGAAAGTAGTTTGATATATCAACTATTAATTTATGCTTAACCTGTAGTATATTACAGTCAACCCTTGATGAGTCTCGTGCCTCGATATTGAGATCAATCGATGTGTTGGCAAGGTCCCAGTATCGACCAAATACTTTTTCAATGCTGCAAGAAAGAGTGCAACAAAAGCAGGAAGTTTCATTAACTCAAAGGAAAAGTGGGTATACAATACACATACAGTAGGAACAAATATGTTGCCAATTAACTAGATGCTGACTGAATTAAAGCACGCTAGCTTCGAAACACACAGTACACAATAGTGCACAAACTAGCTTGACACGAAGGATAATTTAAAGCGAGAGCGCAGCAGAAACACCAGCTCAGCCATGCCCCATGCATGGAGTAAACCCGAGGATCAGTGTAGCTCACCTGGAGCTTGGGGAGGCGAACTCGTAGAGGCGGCCGGCGGGGGAGAAGACGACGAGCGCGACCTCGGCGTCGCACAGCACGGAGAGCTCGTGGGCCTTCTTGAACAGCCCGCTCCGGCGCTTGGAGAAGCGCACCTGCCGGCTCGTCCGGTCCTCGATCCGCCGCAGCTCCACCCGCCCGCGCTTCCTCTTCTTCTCCTGATGCGGCGCCGCCCTTCTCGCCGCATCCCCCTCCATTGTTCTAGCTTGTTCCCACCACCCGAAACAGCAGCAACACCAACCAAGAGCCTCGCGATGAGCTCGATTGCGCAGTCACTTCCGCTGCTGTGTGGCAGCGGAGGGAAAGCGGGTCGTAACCATAAGAGGATCGGAACAAATTCTCGGTGAGGAGAGAGGGAGACAGAGACACAGAGCGATGGAACAAATTCTCGGTGAGGAGAGAGAGGGAGACCGTGGCTCCCTGCTCGACCAACGGGTAAAAACTACAGTATCCCTCCCCTCCCGGGCCGGCTGTCAGTGACCACTTCCCCGACAAGATGACGATCGCTTACGTCAGGACGCGTTTCGCTACACCATTGGTCCATGGTGGCCGGCCACTGTAACACAGTACGTAGACGGTGGAGGCTACAGTTAAGAGAAACAGCTTATTATTCTCATTCTTTACACGCACATACACACACAAAAAAAAACCCAGCTTATTCGTTCTCATAGACAAGCCATGCTTTGACCGGAAAGAAATTTTCGTTTGGTTCGTGACACAGTCAGCCATAAAACAGTGTTTTTCGTCCGTAACAAATCAGCGAACAGTACTTTTCAACTGGCTTTTTAGTGAAGCGAACATGACCATTACCCTGCTGGCTGCTGCCTATATAATTAATAGAGTACAGTGCTATCTCCCATCACGAGTACTTCGTGCCTCGACCAAAAATCCATATCGGATTTCTAAAAACTTTGTCCACCAATAAGACTAAAAAAAGTATTCGATCAGTAATTCATAATGGAAACATAACAAAACATATATATATATATATGTATATATATATGTATATATATATATATATATATATATATATATATATATATGTCTAGATTTGTCTTAGAAATAATAATTTTCACAATCTTAGACTTAGCAGTAGATGATATATCTATATTCTATTGGGGCAAATTAAAAGATAATAATCAAATGTAAAACTCAATCATAGACCAAAAAATTCAACGGCATAAAATTTTTTTGATGCGAAGAGTATGTTATAGCTAGGGATTCATGCATGATGCAACAAAGAGTAAAACAGAACGTTCAAGCCATTGCGAAAATACTACGTGACTAGCTCGATTTCACTACTACACAACTACCATGAGTGTCAACAGTGGCGGAACCTGACTCACAATCAAGGGGGGGCTAAGTTGTCCATAGATAATATGAATATATACTAGGTTTATTACCAAATTAATCATGGTTTGGTGGTCAGCTAATACTATTTGCTGGAGATAGATGGGCCATGAGACAATTACATATTTACATGCACAGTTTGCAAGGAAGCGAGCCCTACTCCCTGGCCTGTCGGATCAACAGGCCCTGCTCCCTAGTGACTCCCCGGTTGGAGGCGGTGGGGGAGTGGCTGGCAGGACCAGCCAGCAGCGGAAGTGGCCGACCAACGAGCAGTGCTAGGCCCACGTAGTCCCGGGGCCAGCCGCGGCTCGGCGTGGGTGGCGGGAGGTGGGCACCTCCTCTCGTGGCCTGCTCGCTCGCACGCGGCACCCTGTAGCCCAGCCCAGCCATGGCCATGCGGTGGTGAGAGATGCCACAAGCGGGGAGGAGCTGTGGCGGGCGGCGGCGCCATGGCGGGGTGCGCAGCGTAGCCGGGGCGGCCAAGCTTGCCGGTGATGAAGCGCGCCACGTGCGGGAGGGCTTGGCTTAACCGGCGGTGGCGCTCGTTCAGCTCGGTGAAGGGTAAAGCAGCAGGAACGCGATGGCGCCCGTGGCGGCCTGCGAGCAACGAGCAACCATGGCGATGAAAGCAACCATAGCGATGCTTGGCTGGGCTGTAACGCGGCAAAGATTATGGCGGGTGTGGGGAAGCGCGATGTAGCTGCTTGCTTTCGTTGCATCGCTAACAGAAGCTTTGTTCGGCCGCCGCCGCCGCTGTTGCCTCCATCACGCACGTAGGATGGGAGGAAAGAGAGGGGCCAGTGTGGCATGGTCAACGCCAGCACAAAATCGCTGCACATTGGACAAAAACAGCAAGTCATAGCTAGAACTATTATTTTTAAGAGATGAAGTCGGATTCTTTCCTTTATCTAAAAAGAAATTCCGAGGCGGTTTTTAAAGCCGTCTCCGCTAAAAAATGCTAAAAGATGATGACGCCTCTTAAAATCGTTCTTGGTACAGTAAAAAACGTACCACAAAACTACAGTACACAACTCACGTCACATAGCAGTATAGCACCATGCAAATCGACTCGCCCACTCACATGGAAAACAACAAAAGAGATTTGTGTTTTCCCACGGCCCACGAAGATTGTATTTTACATGTACATATAACATATCTGGGATTTCGTAAGGAGTCATCTTTTCCTCGTACGTTTATGCAAACACACATACACGCTGAGAATTGAGACGTGTGTACGTGTTGCAACGTGCAAGTATCGACACACACATATATACACGGTCACGGACCATGTTCAAGGGAAATTAATTACTAGTTTCACTACTGGGAATATCTACGATGAACAACTTTCATTATTGATGGAGCTAAATTTGTTATAATTTTTGTTTTACGATGAATTTATGACGAAAAACGGTTCGTCGTAGAAGTCGTGTCATTCTTGAACTTTTATGACGAATCTAGAAAATCGTCATAGAAATGGATAGATCTATGACAAAAACTGACCGTCATAGAACTATTTTGGCATGCGTGGCAGAGGGCAGCCATGCCGGTGGTTGCTTCCGTTGGAGATGATTTCCACGTGTACCTACTATAGCCGGTTGCAATGGAGATGGTTCAGGTACGTGTCACCTTGTTATTGTACAACGTGGCCATCTCTAGTTCTTGCATGTTTCAGATTCTTAATGGACCACGTGTCGGCCCTGTTGTTTTAAATGTTAGTTTTCTATTAGCACACATATCGTGTCGATTGGATCACGTGTTTTTTTATTGGATCATGTGTATATTTTTATTGGCCATGTCTAGTTCTTGCATGTTTTGTTTTTTGATTCGACCACATGGCTTAATGGACCCACGTGTCGGATTTTTATTAGCCACGTGTCGTGCCATGGCTATTTTACGTGTCATGCACTAATTCGCCCACGCATTCGCATTTTTTTTTGATCACGTGGCACCGCCCGGTGTTCTACCACGCGTTTCCATTCATTATAAAAGTAATTTAAGATCATCATCGATCGTGTTGACTACATAATGGATTCACGATGTAATTCAACATGACTTACAAAAAATTATTGTGTTGTTTCACCACATCAAATCAAGACACGAGTAGTGAACCACAAATGTTCATCGTGATCAAGCCAACAAAGTTGGGAGAGTAACTGCATAAGAGTGAAAACTTGGAATCAACATCAAGTTCGACGATGTTGTTAGAATCTTTCTGTTCGACAACAAGCTATTCTCAGGTTTCTCTCGTGTCTCTGTTTAGCGTGCTTGTCATATACAAAGATTCTTCAAAAAAGTGTGTTGTCACCATCTGGGAGTGGACTCGCCATGGGAGAGGCAAAGGACCTTGGGAACAACATTTCTCATAGGTTCGTGCCCATCGTGTGAAATTTCTATAGCTTCCTGTGAAATTCAGGCAGTAAATATTAGGTTACAGATAGTGGAAGAGGACTTTAATTGAAAATCTAAGAGATTAGTTCATAACAAGTATTACAGGTTTCATGTTGATATGGGTTGCATAAGCACAACGCACAGGTATTGATATGGATTACATACTACGAAATTCAAGCAGTAAACAATAGGTTACATATATGGATTATATAAGCACTATGCACAAGTATTGCAACTTCAAAATTAAATGATGGTGCCAAATTTAGGGTCCCTTTGGTTCATAGGATTTCCGCAGAAAAAATATAGGAATTAATAATTATATGGAATCAGCATCGTAGAGGCCTTGGGTTCATAGGAAGAAATAGGAGAAGAAAAACCATAGAAAAGTTTTTTATCCTTCAACTTTCATAGGAAAAACAAAGAAAAAAACATATCCAGTGAAACCTCATTGTATTAGTTTCATATATTTTTTCTGTACAAAACCAAATACCCCTTCTAACAAAATTCTTCTGTTTTTCACATGCATTCCAATCATATTCCTGTTTTTTTTTTCTGTTCATACGTTTTTCTGATCCTGCATTCCAAAGGGGGCCTTAGGCTGCTGCCACTATTGCTTCTATTAACAGTGCACATGAGTTAGTAACAATAAAACACAACCATCACTTATAAATGATTGCAGTTGTACAGCATAGGAGCGAGATCCTGTAGCCTAGTGGTACTTCACTTTTGCACGGTTTTGCTTGTTCTTCTTAGATCCATGAGTCAACTCTCTAGGTCATGTTGACTTCACTCTCTTGGACTGCCTTCCTCTAGGACTGATATCAGCGCTGCCTTTTGTCCTACTGGCAGAGCCTCCTCTACGGCTTCTTTGAACCGGACGCTGAAATTGGAGAAACAAATTTAAGCAGGAAGCATGTACAAATTGCATCGCTATCTGCACCCCCCGCCCTCCCGCTCGAACTCAATACAAGGTAAAATAAGCACCTCAACTGCAAAGGCCACTAACTCATCTTGTAAATCTGGTTCTTCCATCTTCCTATGATTCTTCCATCCCTGGTTCTTCCATCTTCCTATGATTCTTTGTGACTTTTGCCTCCCGCTCTCGTTCAAAAGCATTTAGTGGCTATTCATCTATTTTACAAAGGTATTTATTAACTAAAGCTTCTAGCGAATATCAACATAATAGAGAGCAAGAGTATGTAAATAAGCACCTAACTAGTAACTACAGCTTATACGGAAGTCATTAATCTAATAAAGCACATGTCAGCTACACTCAACTATAGAAAATATACAACACCATCGCTATCTACATGTCCTAGGTTGAACCACTACAATACAACACACATCATAAAGGAATTTGGGTACCTCTTCCTCCGCGTACCCTAGCCATGCTTTATTGTTGGCACAACCGTCTTGTCATCATGGTCGCGGAACAGGTGCGACTGGCGTTGACAAAGGG